GGAGGGTTGTGAACTCCTGGAACAATCTACCAGAAGTGTTATGACGGCACCAGTGTAAGCTCTTTCAAGACAAGACTTGACCAACACTGGAGCGGGTTCAGGTACATTCAGGAGCCGGTGCATGCCCAGTATTGCCAACAGTGCGACAGAGACGTGACCGATCGAGCAGTGGCTAACAAGCCGATCAGCGGCGTAGAGGATAAAAGTAAGTAAAAAGTGAAGAGCAGCAGAAGGATATCTGTGAGCTCCAAGAATGGTCGAAGAAATGGCTGCTGAGATTCAATGTCACGAAGTGTAAGATGATGCATCTGGGGCGTACCAACGATAAGTAGGTGTACTGGTATGTCCCAACGGGATAAAGAAACCGCACTAGTTGGAGACAATGCGAGAAGGACCTAGGTGGCGCGACAATGAGCTGAAGTTCTCGGCCATTAAGAGAAGAAGGTAAATCAAGCAACAAATTATTGGGTCTTATAAGAAGGTCGTTCAGGATATCTAGACGTCCCCGTCTCTTGTAACGATCTTCAAGAGTAAAGTGCTTCCTCATCTGGAGTACTGTCACCCCTTCTGGTCCCTGAGATATGCTAGGGACTGTCAGTTGGTTGAAAATGTTCAAAGGAGGGCCACCCAGACTGGTGCCTGCACTTCGGCACCTCAGCTACCCTGAGAGATTGGAGCGCCTGAACTTGCCTAGCTTATACTACAGACGGGCAAGGGGTGACCTAGTTGAGGTGTATAAGCATCTCAGGGGGCACTACTCAGTCGAGTGTCCTTACTTGAGCTGGCGGACGCCGCCCCACAAGGGTCACAGCTCAAGATTGAAGAAGCCGCAAGTCCAGAAAACTGTGAGCCTTAGAGGCAAACTTTTTTGGAGGAGGGTTGTAAACTCTTGGAACAATCTACCAGAGAGTGTTGTGACGGCACCGAGTGTGAGCTCTTTCAAGACAAGACTTGACCAACACTGGAGCGGGTTCAGGTACATTCAGGAGCCGGTGCATGCCCAGTATTTGCCAACAGTGCGAGACAAAGACGTGACCAATCGCCCGGGCGGCTTGCGAGCCGATCTTTTGGTGAAGAGGATAAAAGAAAAGGATAAGTAATCAGAGACGTGACCGATCACCCAAGAGGCTAACGAGCCGATCAGTGGTGAAGAGGATAAAAGAAAAAAAGTATTAGTAGTGCGAGGACTGACTGGTTATTGTACATCTGGCAAGCCAGGGAAATTCTGTAGTTTGGATCAGTACTGTATTTGAAGAAAAAAAATTTAAAACAATATTATTATTGCTGTATGTGACCAATGCAAAGTGTAACCAGCTGTGTAGTTACAAACCAAATAAGCTACCACATCCAAACATTGACCCCGCTACCATATATCACAAAAATTGTGACCAAGTCCCAGGTTGCTGATCTGCCTTTCTGCCTCATTTACACACACACACTGCAGGGTCTCCATTATTTCTCTTATTTTGACAACAAAACATACAATATATCGTTTCTCACTACTGATCGATTTATTTTAATTGTTAATTGTTATTTATTTATGGCTATTATTATTACTTTTAATATTATGTTTTTTCATTATCTTATTTAATTATTATTATATTTTCGCCCCCAGGCCCTGATGCGAGTCAGTGACCTGTGCCCTGGTGGGCTAATCCCGAAAAAAAATGCATACATATCTTTTACACGAGTTATCCTTTTTATAAATATTAAAAAAGAACGGTGTATATTCTTGGGTAGCTAACACAACAAAAATTTTCATATTGAAACACCATCTAGACTCTTTCTTATTAACTTACTAGCTTCACAACTTTTCATCTAACTTACCGGTCGGGCAGTTGGTCAATTCTCTATTGTATCGATACAGTAGAGTATCATATTAACACCCTCACTCGTTCATATTATGCGCCATCGTCAATAAAACACCCCGTTTAAACGAGTTATCCATAAAGCGTTTTCTCAAATACTGTACCAGTATCAGAGAAAACGTTAAAAACTGACAATTTGTTTATATCCTTTACTTTTATCCTCTTTGCCACTGAACGGCTCATTAGAAGCTTGAACGGTCGGTCCCGCCTCTGTTAAGCACTGTTGGCAAGTGCTGGGCATGCACTGGCTTCTGAATATATCGGAACCTGCTCCAGTGTTGGTCAAGTCTGGCCTTAAAAGAGCTCACACTCAGTGCCTTCACAACACTCTGGCTTGTTCCAAGAGTCCACAATTCTCACTCAAAAAAAAAGTTTGCCCTCACTATTTTCTGGACCCGTGGCTTCTTCAACCTTGAGCTGTGACCCCTTGTGGGGTAGGCGTCCACCAGCTCCAGGTAGGTACACTCACGCGCCATAGTTTCGACGCACCCGAAGATTTTCTAGAAGTAGTACAAGATGTTTTTTATATCAATTCATAAACTCGCCCACTAGAGGAAATAATATCCTCGATTTAGTTCTCAGTAATAATGAAAATCTAGTAAAAGATGTTGGGATTGGAGACGAACTAGGAAACAGTGATCATAAAGCCATATATTTTAACATAATATGGGATGGCAGGAAGAAGGAAAATTCGGCCTTGATCCCGGATTTTAGGAAGGCTAATTACGGTAGCTTAAGGAGAGACCTAAGGGATGACCCTATGGTCAAAAGATTAATCCCCCCCACACCTCCGGAAACTGTCAACTTAGGACGGGATAACCCCGAATTTAATTTAGCAGCTACTTATGAACAATTTATTGCGACAATCAATAATGCTCAAAATAAACACATCCCTAAAAGAAAATTCAGATCGATATGGAACCAACCAAAATGGATGAATAATAGACTCTTAGATCTTCTAGGGAAAAAGAAAGGAGTATATAGAAAAGTTAAGAAAGGCGAAAATCACTTACTTGGTTACTATCAGAACCTAACAAGACAGGTAAAAAACAGAAATTAAGGAAAGCAAAGAGAAATTATGAAATCAAGGTAGCAAACGAATCGAAAAATAACCCCAAAGCTTTTTATCAACTGTATAAATCAAAGGTTAGAGATACAATAGGTCCCCTTAAAACTATTACAGAGAAATGACTGATGATGAGTTGAAATGTAGTACGTTAAATAGTCATTTTCGCTCCGTATTCACAAATGAAAACCTGCTTTTTCAAGTTCATAAGGTATATACGACAGTATAGAAAATATGTTGATGAATATCAATATTACTAGTAACGATGTGCTTAAAGTAATTAACAAACTGAAGCCTCATAAATCGCCTGGTCCAGACGAGGTATATGCTAGAGTATTAAAAGAATGTAGAGATGAGTTGAGTAATCCATTAGCAGTTTTATTTAATAAGTCATTAGAATCGGGCCTAGTGCCAGAAGCTTGGAAACTTGCAAATGTAGTTCCGATTTTCAAAAAGGGTGATAAATCAATTGCATCAAATTACCGTCCCATTAGTCTCACGTCAATCATAGGCAAGTTGCTAGAGTCAATTATTGCTACAAAAATCAGAAGCCACCTTGAAACATTCAACTTAATTCATTCTTCTCAGCACGGGTTCACCCAGGGACGTTCTTGTCTCACAAATTTGCTTAGCTTTTTCTCAGAAGTATATGAAGCGGTAGATAATGATAAGTCACATGATATAATTTATTTAGATTTCAGAAAGCATTCGATAGAGTCCCTCATGAGAGATTGATAAGGAAGGTAGAAGCACATGGAATAGGTGGATCAGTATTAAAATGGATTAGGTCATGGTTAACTGGTAGGAAACAAAGAGTCAGCATAAATGGATTAAAATCAGACTGAAGTGCGGTCAAAAGCGGAGTTCCCCAGGGATCTGTATTAGGCCCTCTGCTGTTTGTTATATTCATTAATGATCTTGATTTAGGCATAACTAGTAGGATTAGTAATTTGCAGATGATACCAAAATGGGGAGAGTGATAAATTCAGACAGTGACTTTGAACACCTTCAAAGAGATCTAGATACCTTACATGGTGGTCAGTGACTGGCAAATGAATTTTAATACTGATAAATGCAAGGTACTACAGATAGGAAGACGAATACAAACGTTAAGTATAAACTAGGTAACACGGAAATAGAAAACTCAGTTTGTGAAAAGATCTAGGTGTATTTGTTAGCAAACGACTTGAAACCTAGAAAACAATGTATTAGCGTTAACAAGGCAAACAAGTTCTTGGGTTCATATCTAGGTCTGTGAGTAACAGAACTGTGACGTTATCTTGAAACTTTACCTAGCATTAGTGAGGCCACACATGGATTATGCGGTTTCAGTTCTGGTGTCCTTATTATAGAATGGACATAGATTCTTTGGAGAGAGACACAAGAAGAATGACAAAATGATCCATAATATTAGAAACCTTCCATATGAAGAAAGACTGAAAAGCTTAGGCTTACATTCATTAGAGAGCGTAGAGTTAGGGAGATATGATAGAGGTGTACAAATGGGTAAATGGGATTAACAAAGGGTAAAATGGAAGATGTTCTGAAGCTCAGTAATAACGAAATAACTAGAACAAATGGCTTTAAATTAGATAAATTCGATTCAGAAAGGATATAGGCAAGCACTGGTTTGGTAATAGAGTTGTGGATATGTGGAATAGGCTACCGGATGTAGGATCGGGGCGCTAGGGAGCTTCAAGACGAAGTTGGATAGGCACATGGAAGTGCTGGGATGGTGTGAAAGGATCTGCCCTGTATGGGCCAGTCGGCCTCCTGCAGTATCCCACTTTCTTATGTTCTTATACCGAACGTCGTCTCCCATCGTTCACTGGTGCAATGTGGTAGCTCGCAGCTTCGCTGGATTGTACGAATAACAGTTCATTATATAATATTTGACAGAACATATGCACGATACATTTTTTTAGTGACTTCACACACTTTATTTACCATCACTATTCAGTTTGCAGCGCTGACTTCGACTTCCCTCGAGCTAGGAGTAGGGGTAGAGGGTGCATCGAAGCTCTGGCGAGTGTACCTGTACATTCGATCGAGCAGCGCCCTCTAAGATGTTTGTACACTTTGATTAGGTCGCCCCTTGCCCGTCTGTAGTATAAGCTAGGCAGTTTCAGGCATTCTAATCTCTCCGAGTAGCTGAGGTTCCGTAGAGAAAGCACTGGATTTCCTGAATCTGCCAAAATTATCCAGAGACAAATGTCAGGTTGAAAGCAGCTGGTGAATACTCTAGTAGTTTGTGGGAAGCTACATACATTATATATCTAAACCACCTGCTGAGTACTGATAAAGAAGTGTACCAAGTTGAACAAATCACCAGTTTGTTAAACTTTCATGTTGGATGCTGTAGCTAGTGTTGGCATCACTGTCCTGTACGTTATAGCTCAGTTCACACCCAAAGTAAATCAGCCTTCTTGGTTATATTTTACACTGTGCAACATTTTCTATCTTTGAAGGTATCAAAGAATTCCATTTATAATTTGTAGTGGCCAGAGGGTTATTATTAGTAAGGAGAGGGAAGCTTTTAGTCATAGTAAGGCAAGAGTGAAAGTAATAATGTGAGAGACAGTACAGTACTCACCCTCCATTGTCACACTCAGAAGGGCTCACGATGGCATCATACTGCAAATAACTGGTGGAGTGGCGGGAGTCCTGTCAGTAAGTGCCATTGTTAGTTTGAATTATATTAAAAACAACCACAACCATGTGACTAATTATAATTACAAAAAACACGTGAAGGAATCTCACAATAAAAGGAGGATTACGTTTACAGTAGTTCTAGTAAATACAATATTCACTAATTGTTTATTAGTAACTTTTGTCAACATGAAGTCAAGTTGCAAAGAAGCGGGGGAGCTTACAGAGGTTGGTGAAGGTGTGGCAGCAAGAGAGCTACGCCCCGTCAGTAGCTGGTAGAGGCTCTTCATACTGTGGCTGAACGACGCCATCATCATCTGGCTGATGTCTAGGATCCCGCGACCTCTGTTAGAAAAAAGGTATGACCAAACAATATCTGCACACTGATAACTTCTTGCATATACTTTTTTGTAAAATTTAAAATAAATACTAATAAACAACCTATTTTTTTTTATTTTTAGTATGATTCTTATTAGCAAGTTGCAAACGAAGATATATTGCAACAGCAACATAGTGGACTGGGCTGACCCTCTGCTTCACACAATATACAAGATACAGTTAAACATTTGCCATACACCATGACAGCTGAGCAGATGGTAACCTTACATTTAAATACCCGATGATGTGTATTAGAAGAAAATGTAAGTGAGGGGACGGAATTCCATCCAAAGACCAAAAAGCTGGCAGCCATGCAAGGCAAGCGACTAGGTGAATACTACTATGTAATGTGCTTTGACTTAAAGTTCTCTATGGCTCAGTCTTTAATTAACTTTATAATTTAGTGTTAAAACAGAAGCTTATCTACTTAGTTTTACCCGAAGGAAACAGTGTCAAGTTTTGGGACAGAACACAGAGTTCAGGGTGTCAACATCCTGGCCACGTACTACCAAATGAAGATTTTATTGTAAAATTAATTTTAACCTTAAAGCCAACAACAGCGTGTTTGAATGGAATGAAGCATGGAGGACGACACTCACCTTTCTCGTCCCAGAAGTTGGCATATCCAGGGGACCTTGGCGCAAATTGTGGCGCGAGTGTAAGGCTCGTCATCGCTGCCGTACTCGGTGTTCCTGAAAGTGAACACTTTGCTGCCACCGGGAACAATACAGGGGCCCGAGGAGTGGAAGTAGTCCACATAGAGGTTCTTGAGAAGCTGCTCGTGGGGGTCGGTGCAGTAGTGGTGAGGGCTATCTGGTTTGGTGGAGCTGCTGCCCAAGGTGAGGCCAATCTGACAAGTGAGAAGTGTATGTTTACATACAACCGAAAGGCAAGACCTGGTCAGGTGTGTTGTAACAAGGGGCTGCATACACACGCTAGTGGTCACCCACAACACACACGTTCTCACAGGAAGGCAATGGTTTGGTCTTGTTTACAATTCCTGTCAAACAACTTTTACACAATTAGTCACTCCGACCATCCTCTCTTGAAAAACCCTGCGAAAGTGTGTGCTATGGGCATAGGCAGGCAGCCCCTTGTAGCGGTGTCACTAAACTGTACATCACCACAAGTTTTAGTATAACAACATCATGGCCGCTATTTACCCTTTCGCTACGATTTCCAAATTTTATAATCTTATTCTGGCTATCGCCAGACAGTTTTATTCAGCTCAGGGAAAACCTCCAGTAGGCAAAGGATTAAACCTGTCATTGTAGCTGAAAATCTGATATCTAGGTTGTTTATTATAAATATCAAACTTATATGGCCGTAACAATGTCTATAAGTACTGTACAATGAAACTTGTTTTGACAAAATTAGGAAAGATAAAAAATTAGCAATGTTTTAGTCAAAATTCTTGGCACCACAACCATTTTAAGTGAAGGTTAATAACATGGAATTACTATCAAGAGCATCATCACTGGAAAATTACACAAGTACTGCACAGTATTAGAGTAATGTGCTAAAAACAAAAACAAAAACAAATCCAGTACATTTCCCAACTTCTTTTTTCTAACACCCAGCGCTAAGATACCAAGTCCAGAAAATACAAAAGTTAAAACGGATATACACCATGAGGTCAAGGTTTCATGGTTATCTAAACCTAACTTAACCTAACCAAAAGATAAATAGAGTAACCCACGTCTCTTTCTCTGTCAGTGTTAGTCCAGTACGATACTTATCACACTGCCTGGATATTTCTCAGGACTATAAATATGTTATGTTCCGTGACGAGATCTGCGGGGGGAAGGGAGATGGAGAAGGTGCATAATTTTGTTTTCCTTTTAAGAAGAAATCACCAAATGGAACTAAATCTCAGTAAAATCCATGTACCGCAACAAGATGGCCTGAGACGAGACCCACAGCCACCACACCTCCCGCTAGTAAGACGACAAGACGGGCAACAGTACCTTGAGATGGTCCTTAATGATGGAAGCTCTGGCCAAGCTGACACACACCTGGGGACGTAAATATAGGTCAGTGTAGGGTCATGGTGGCGAGGCAGGTGTCGGGTCATGGTGGTGAAGCAGGTGTAGGGTCATGGTGGTGACGCAGGTGTAGGGTCATGGTGGTGAAAACCCAGGTGTCGGGTCATGGTGGTGAAGCAGGTGTAGGGTCATGGTGGTGACGCAGGTGTAGGGTCATGGTGGTGACGCAGGTGTAGGGTCATTGTCCTGAATTTCGCGTTCATTTCACGCTCCCATTCTCGTGAGAAGAATTCCAGGACGGGGAGAAATAAAGTATGTAAAAAATAAAGGGAAAATGACCCCCCTTACTCCTCCTATAACACTTATTCGCCTAAACTACCTAACGAGACATATGAATGAAAGATAACTCAGCGATCTGTGTAGAGGTGGTGGGGTTGAGTAGCACTGAAGGCTGTACAGTAATAATAATACAGGTATCCCTCGCTACACGAACGTTTGCTCTGTAAATTTTCGCTTATGCCAATATTCTATTCCTACACCACTTTCTCACTGTACAAAACCCATGGTATCTTAAAGTCATGTACTAAATCTGTACTTCATTAATTTCTGAATGTGCCAGGTGCTAAACTACAGTAGTTAAGTAGGTTTTTTGTTATTTACGAACCGATTTCATTTTTAGCCCACGTATACATGGGGGTTTTCTTGTAGCTAGTTGAGAACTGTACACTTTTGAGTTTATGGATCCCTCTTCATCTGAACTTTAAACAACTAATATTGTTGGTAATTTTATCGGTTAAAATACTCGAAAATTATAATTTTCCGAAGAAAATATCATAAAAGAAGTGTTTTAGAATTGTCTAAACTACATGATGAGTATATTAAAAAAAATGTGGGTCAATTAAAAGCAATATTACCCTTAACTCGCCTATATCTAGAAAACTAAGCATTTACACAAGAAAATTAATATAACTTTAAATAATATTCAGTGTACACAGCTTTGTCTAAGAACACCCTCCTAAGATTACCGAACCGCTGGCGGCCACATCTGAAGGTATTGTCTACAGTACATCTACCACATCACAGCTGCTGACGTGACTATGAATGCTATCTTAACTCACCTTTATCTAGAAAACTAAGCATTTGCCCAAGAAAATTAATAGAACAGAAAATAATCTACGTACAAAATTGTCTAAATACGCCCCCCTCCCCCCCTCCATAATTGTCGGACTGCTGGCGGCCACGAGTCGTTTATTAGCTCCTTTCTCTTGCTTCCTGTACAACATATTAGTAGGTGTTGGCCGATACTTACAAATTTATCTAATTTACCGAACTATAAAACTACTTAGCTTAGATAGAAGATTATCCACGTGGAAGCCTGAGCTGGGATAATCCTGCGGGAAGTTTAACTAGTAGATGATTGTTTCTCGTCACTAAACGTAGTTATCTGATCACTTCTTGATTACTAGGGCCGATACTGTCAGTTAATATAGCAGTCAGTCATGAAGCATTAACCCGGTATAATTGGGTGGAGGTCCAGTGCAGCAGAACGAGATAATCTAGTTCTTTGTTGTGGGACACCATACCAAACGCGCCAGGCTTCCTACCCACTTTCCCATGCACCGGCCGCTCGCCTCACCACGGAGACTCACTCCTCCGGCTCCGTGTCCGTGCATCAAAAATCACGCGTTCGAAGACTTGCAATCATTCGTATGTAATCAAACAATTTTAATAAATACGCAAGTCTAACAGTTATATTAAATAAGTTAAGCTTCATAGTCATTATATCAGAAACTACTATGATGATAATCAATACTGACTAATAATTACATTACAACAACTACATTGGATATATAAAAGAACCCAAGCTATAGCCGCCATCCGAACAACCATAACGAAGCTCTAACAATTATAATATAATATATAATAATATAATTTTTACCCTTACTTTCTCCATGTTTAAAAGTTAGGTGTCGCACTACTTAATAAATTATAATCCCAGCTACAGCTGTTGTTGTTGCACGAATTATTCGAAGTAATAGGCTTAATGCTTGTTATAATTTGTGACAAATGGGGCAACTTTTCTAATTTACCTTAAATAGAAAAAACGTGTCCTGTTACAGCGGAATATACTGTATGTGCATTAGCAGACTATTCAGAACATTTGCTTTGTGTCTCTGCCAAGCACACTGTTGTTATTATTATTATTATTATTATTATTATTATCATTATTATTTTATTTTACTTTTTATTATACATTTTATTTACTATGAATAATTATTACATTTTCGACCCCAAGCTCTGATGTGGGTCAGTGACCTGTGCCCGGGTGGGCTAATCTCCATAAAAAAAACTGGGAAATGGCTAAAAACTTCATCTCTAATGGCAAGATAGCCGACATATTAAGATTGTTTCCACTTTTTTGCACTTAGTAACTATACCAGTTTTCATGTATAGAACCAAATACACAATGTGCTTCAATAATTTACGCAAATGTGAATAACAAAGTGTGAGGCCAGACACACTGTCTCACTCTGCTATACTCAAGCAGTTGTGAATAAGTTACCCTTTATGTATAGAAATAAACAAATAACGTATTTGAAATACTATGTATCATTCAGTGCCATAATATTCTGACCACGGGGGTTAATTATTCTGACCCTTTGTAAACTCTACTCTGTAATCCTTTTGCGCTACCGCTCACGGGATGAGTTTGGGGTGCACAATAAACTAGCCGCTGTAAGTGGCAAAATTCAAATTCACTGTACAAACAATCAATCACATCTTTCTAATTCTGCTGTTTGGTGATAGTAGGAAGGGTGGGACTGTGAGTACCTGTGGAAGTAATGGCTGGTGTAGGTAGCAACTCCATTAATTTATCTATCGCGGTGTTCAGTGCGTCACACCTGTCTCACTTGTTCACCCACCGATCGCTAATCAATGGCAATATGAAGACTGGATTTTATGCAATGGTGATGAACATAGTCTTGTATCACTCAGTCACTGATTCCTACTGCAGGTTCCAGATTCCTCGTCTAAGGAGTATATCACAGCCTTCACGCTTACACTGTCTTGATAAAGTACAGTATACAAAGGCACCACACCTCCAGAATACCCTCTTGGTATTTCTGCGTTTTTCTCGTATAATTACAATAAAAAATGCATTAGATTTCGTAGAAGAGCGATACTATGACGAGATGATTTTACTGTTAGTATTATTATGGTAGTTGTGTGTGGCAAGCTTCGTGTAGTGACCTGAAACTCCCGTCACTGCAGAGTCAAATGGATTGTGAATAGAAACGCTATGGCACGCTGGTCTTCTTATGCTCGTTCACGCAATTTCAGTATTTCTTTGTCGGCAGTCTAGTCGAGGGCTGTCTGGTATTACTGCCATAATTTCCGAAAGGTCTATACGAATGTCTATGGAAATCACTAAACCGCTTGAGTCATACCGTAGCTTATATCATTGGGGTTGAATTATTTATATTCACCATTGTTTGTATTTGATGAACCAATGTGAACTTGCATGATGATTTTACTTAATATATGTCTACCAATTTCTCTAATTCCAACGCCAACACATACTCACGATATCATGAATAGATCAGCAAACATGACAGAAGTGTTGTGAGTTAGGTGATGATAACTTACCAGAGGAAGGATGAAGGTGAGGCGGGATGAAACTGCCATAACTTCGCTTCCCTCTTCCCAACACTCCTCCAGATGTAATGTTTAATGTTCTCTGTATTTGTGACTTAATCTATAACAACTAAAATTAATTGCAATAAAATTATAATGATAATATTTCAGCAATGTAATGCAAATAAAGTCCGAGGTGTATTGTGCTTCCTTTTCCTCTTAGCGAAACAGGATTAATAGAAGTGTAGCCCTGGGCGGTGGGTGGTGAGGGGCGGTGGGTGGTGAGCGGCGGTGGGTGGTGAGCGGCGTGAGGGAGGTGAGGACACTGAGAGGGTTGAGGACGGAGTGTTGCTTTGCACTTTCAGGCGGGGATATTATATACACACACACACACCACACACACACACACACACACCACACACACACACACACCGCGACGGAACTAATGGATATAATTCTACTCTCCTGGTGTTAGATTGATAACCGGAGGATGACATTACGCTCTTCTGTTTTAGAAGGCAGGGGTAGTGGTCACGTGGTGGTGGCTTTGGGTAGTACTGGCAGTGGTAGCTGCTGCACCTCCAGTGTTCTGGTACTCCATCAGTTTATATTCTTGTGTCGTGTAAGTCTTGTAAACAAAGAGAAGATGTAATAATGTGGACGACGTGATTCGTCTGCGCAAAGTGTAAGCCTTAAGAGAGTAATTACCTGAACAACGTAATTCAGTGGTTCTCAAACTTTTTCCAGTTTTACCCCTATTTAAAGTCTGACAGGTTCGAATTACCCCAAGGTAAAATTTTACTCCTTACTTTTTATTCAATTAAGTTTATTATACAAAGCACAAGTTTACAAAATTAATGATACAAAACACAAGCTTACAAATGTACTTACAAATTTTACTCCTCCAATTAAGTTTATTATACAAAACACAAGTGTACAATTCTAGCCTGTCTTATACAAAAATCATTAATAGTTCTACAGTTACAGTGCTGTTATAGACTTAGTCTTAGTGAGATGGGTGAACTTGTTTTGTGGACACCAGATTTTGGATGCGTGGTTTAGTCTTTGACAGAGCCAGCCTCATATCTGAGGTTGGAACGAGCCGGTTTCTAGTCTTGGACTTGTGGTACATTGCAGAGAACCCAAGTTCACACATATAGGTCGTGGGAAATGGAAGAAGTACGTGGATAGCCCGAGTCATTAGAGTTGGGCATCCCACTGCTACTTAAGCCAAACGCGGCAAACTTAAGTGTTATAAGTGTTAAATACGAGGTTACCCCACCGTGCCAACAGAAGCATATTACCCCAGCCAAAATGCAGTTTTTATCCAAGTTGGGGTAATTACCCCGAGTGAGACCCACTGACGTATTAAAAGAAAGTTGAGCTTCACGGAGTGCGAGTTTAGCGAACAAAACTAACGCAAAAAATACATACACACAATTTATATATATATGCTGATAACCACACATTCCTGCACAGCTAAAAACCTGGAACGTCAATGTGGCATTTAAAAACTCATGCACTGTTAAACAAATGTTAATCAAGAACTCCCCCAACAACACAATTGGTTGCATTTATAAAGTTCCTTGCAAGGAATGTAATATGTTTTAAGACAGGTAAAGATCTTGCTACTAGAATTAAACAACACAAATACAGTGTTAGGACAGGCCAGGAATCCAATGCTCTGTTCGTTCATTTGAGGATAACAAGCATTGCATTGACTGGGATAATGCCTCCTCAATATTACCATGTAATTCAATTGATAGTAGGAACATCATAGAATCTAGTCTATTAAACATACCGAAGCATTCAACATGAATTTGAGTAACGGCATGTACAAGCTGGACAATTTTGTAATTAAGAAGATTTGTGATCAGGTGAGAAGGCCGGGTCACTTGACCATCTGACCTGACCACCAACCGTTGTGTGCTATTTAAAGATTAGTAGGGTCATTACCTAATACCTGACCATTGTGGACCTGGTCTCACACCTCCTCTGTATATATACCTTGATTTGTATTACTCTCTCTAGTCTGTACTCACCCTGAAGATGTGAATTACACGAAAGCAGGAACTTCGTGTTTTCTTCTTCCTTGTGGTTATCAGCATATACCTAGATCACGCGCACCTACAGTGATTTACTTGCATATATATATATATATATATATATATATATATATATATATATATATATATATATATATATATATATATATATATATATATATATATATATATATATATGGTATTTTTTGCTCTGCTTCATTTGAGACGTCACTTCCTATCATAAACAGCCAGTTTATGACTAAATTAGGTTAGATTATGAATGAAGTTACTTATATATATTTATTATCTACACGACCATCTCTGGCCAGTCAGTTTAAAGTAGTATAGATGTTCCCTTAATGGGCGGGGCCAACCTAACACCCGTGCGACCACAGATTTTTATATACATTGTAGAACTTTTCTTTTACGGGGTTTAGCCCAACCGGGCACAGGTCACTGACCCACCACATCGGGGCCTGGGGGAGGGAGGGGCGAAAATGATAATAATAATAATAATAATAATAATAATAATAATAATAATAATAATAATTAATAATAATAATAATAATAATTCATAGTAAATAATTTTTTTAATAAAAATACAAAATTAAAAATATAATAATAATAATAATAATAATAAAGAACCATAAAGAAATAAAAAAAAGATCAAAAGTGAGAAACAATATACAGGTATGTATGTTGTGTTGTCAATATATAGTAAGAGAAACAATTGAGACCCTGCAGAAAGTCAGATCAGCAACCTGGGACTTGATCACAGTTTTCGTGATGCCATATGGCAGCAGGGTCTACCATTAGACAACACATAATGCTTACAATATCTTCCCAGACATGAGCCATGAGCTGCCCGTCTAATCGCAGGGGTAGTGGCTTCACCCATTCTGGTTACATTACTTCGTCAGAGACAAAGGTAAGCACCAAAATCTAGTCCGCAATAAAACTCAGGAGTGAAAATAAGAATGAAGTTAATTTAAAGACTCACTCAGTACTGAACAAGCACGAGGACCATCACACGAGTGTTGTTAACATGTCTGAGGTAGGTGTGTGTGCACTGTGGCTGTGTTCACGAGTGTCACACAGCCATCCTCTGTGTGTGCAGTGGAGGTACTCGTGCGTGGTGGGGCCCGCTCCTAAGAATATTTCGTTTTTGGAGAGCTTCGACGTGTGTACGCCCATATATAGACGTCTGTGTGTATGTATGTGTCTGTAACAGTATTCGTAAAAGTAAGTACGTGTGTGCGCACCTATCCGTACACCTAATATATCTGGCGTTGATTCCTACATCCTCAGGTCGGTGAATTGAATTGAAACAGTTTATTTAGCCAGAAAAAACACAGATACAGAGTGGATAATAATAACAATATTAATATGGCTGAGCCAGTTGAGAACCTGAGCTCTCTTTTAGGCATCTGATATATACTATACATTCATACTATACATTCTCTGTTTGAAGAAACTGTCAAGTTTTGTCATGAAAACTACAATTGGTCTCCCGGTGATTTATTTTTCGTTAATAATTGCTGGTAATAAGTTGATTGTGTCTAAGGCAGCGATGATAAACACCTATTCAGGAGTTAAACATCAACATTGTGTGTGTGTGTGTGGACTGTGTGACAACCCTTAATTAAGAAATATTTTTCCAGTGAGAGGTAAGATGTATGGTGGTGTTAAGGGGTGAGGCAGGAGCAGCGTCACACACCTCAACAGCCACACACGTCCCTCCTCAGTCATTAGTCACGCACTCACGCGAGTCGCACTACTTATTTTTCTCCCGTGGTGATGGAGGACACGACCATGAAACTCACCTTACTTGTCAACGCCCCCTCCCCCCCCCCACCACCAGCCAGCGGTCGTCTACTACAATGTCACGGATGTCATTAACCCTCACCAACAACATGCAATTCCAGATCATTTAAGCTTCAGGAAACAATTTGGTTCGCTGTAAATCTGACGTGAAATTTTCCATCTACAGTATACTGGCCGCTGCCCTCCTTAAGTGGTAAAGTGTAAACGAACACACACACACACGTACTATTACTTCTTTACCATACTTGTCTAAGGACTGGAAACAACAGCCTAGCCTGATATTAGTATGGAGAGCAGACGTAGTTCCTGTTGACGATATCAACTACCGGTGTCTTGGCACAGAAAAGTTGGCCCATCATGAGTGTCTGTCTGGTGAAGTAGTCCTGTGCGGGAGGTCGGGAAGTGTGGCCCATATTTAATACACTTGTCTCTCACTAATACATATGAGGGCCTCTAGTCTCCCCGGCTTAAGTGCTCAAAATTAATTATGACGTATGCAAAAAATTATAAGACGCCGGAAAGAACAAAAAATAATATTACCACAACTTAATGTTTAAGTTTGAGCATCAAGACAGGTGATTATCTTGATCAATAATAGAGCACATTAATAATTTTAGGATTAACCACCCCAACAATAACATAATTTAACCTAATCTAACCTAACCTAACCTAACCTAACCTACATAAAGTCAGCTCTTACTCCCGTACCAACATATTCTTTCTCCTCTCTGATGTCTTGTGCGTGCATGAAGGGAAATAAACCCGAACATTACCTACAGTATACACAGACTAACCCCGATATTAATGACTCCAATATTCCCAACATTCTTTACAAACTTTGATGTTAGTTAATTCGTAAAATGTTCAGGCTGACGAACACCGATGTATTTTTTGTCATTCTTCATCTCGACGAACACTGGGCGGGAAAGTGTAGTTCCAGGTCAGCCGTTCTTCCGTAAACCTGAGAGATTGCTTGTGACCTGCCCTGCCCTGCCCGCCAAATGGTTTCCATCCTTTCCTCACCATTAACCTCTTACCTGCTGCTCACAATCTCATTTCCTCAATTCTCTTCTTTGGTCTTATTTATACAGTGAGTGGGTTCCTCGAGTCACTTGGGAAAGCAACCCATCATGCTTGAGTCTGTGGCTGAGAGATGATCAACAAAGGGGCACATACACTCCAGGATGCATATATACTGTACACGAGGTCTTCTAGGGAGTCGAGGGGGGTCGAGTGGGGGTTCACTAAATAAAAATAAAAATAATATACTTCAGCGCATACTGATTCTCTATATCAGGCCCAGTTATTGACGTGGGGCGCCAACCTCACTCAGCCAAGTGGACCGGAGGACAAGTGTGAGTTCCTGAATGCCAATTTTTACCAGGACGATTGACGGAGTGAAAGGCAGACGTGCCATCTCCTGTAGTACAAGAACCAGTTAGTTGATAGTCTGTTCAT